TGGGCAACTGACCCGGTATTCTGCAGAATTTTTGTTACGCGCGTGGAATCAGTGCAAATATTTGTATCTTCACTTGACAGTTTCTTTTGGGGTGTGTAAGTTCTGCGTGTAGGTCTTATGGGGAACTCTTTCTCGAAGTTTGGTCATCCGGAAGGGTGAGTTGGTGAAGTTCGTGTGACAGCAGTGTCTGATGGTGTCGTACGTCGGTAATTGGTTCTACATTGAGGAGAAGGATTTGATGGGGAACTTGAAATGCAGTTTGGTAAGGTAATTTTTTTAGTTGAGAGTCACCATAGTGTTTGCTTTACATGATGCTGATGATGATCCTTTTTGATAGGAAAAGCCATCATATGCAGGTAGCTATGATGATAAGTGAAGATCCTGAGGCATCTGTAAAACATTACTTTTATCGCTTGCTTCCTAGTTTAAATGTGCAGCAACTTCATTGAAGGGTACGGTTAATATTCTTTGCTGATGACTTCATGACGATTTTTTAGGCATATTGACGGAAGCTTGATGTTAAAACGTGTACTATTTCCGTGTCATGAATGCGTGACAAAGTGAGCTCTGTTCTTTATACGGTTATTTTTCTACAAGTTATCTTTTCTCCGAACGACATTCCACTAAATTTTGTTGCGTGCTGTGATGTTTAACCATCTTTCGGCTGCTTGATAGTGATGAAGTTTTCTATTTTGCTGAGCACGCTGTTTCATTTTCTTGAAAATGCTTAAGCACATGCTGAATTTGTTGAATGAGGAAGAATTTTTGTTTTCTAGGACAAGAATTGGCGAGCCAACGTGTTCACGAAACGGAGTGCATTTTTAAAATAGAAGACACAGACTTAAAGAACGAAGGTGTAGATGTGATCGTTACTCAGAGTTGTGGCGTATTATCGCTTGGTTATCATTAATTGTTTCTTGATTTGAATCTGTTTTTGTCGTCACGTTCTAAATGTTCATTTTTGTCTTGGTGTTGGTCATGACAATAAATTTCAGCGTTCCTTTTTGCGTTCGGAAAGTGGTAGTTTAGGGTGCTGATGCAGTTCTTTCTGCGAGTGCTTCACCGTGCCCTCAGGTATGCTGTTTGATTTTGCAGAGGTGTCCTTTGTCTGCAGGGTTAGGTCTGCATTATCTGCATGCTTTTTCCCGGTTTGTGTGGTCGTTTTGGTGTAGTGGGGACATCAGGAGTTAGGCGTGCATTCGTGTGAAGTATGAATTCTGGAGTTGGCCTGGTGAAATCAAGTTTTGGCGTATCTTTTCGCTGTCAAGTTAGTGGTTCGAGGAGATTGTTGCTGTGTCGGTGGTTTGCAGGCGTGCACTGAGACCGCAGTGCTGGCATGCAGTGGTCTGGCTAGTTAATGTTCATTCCGGTAACATGGGTTTTGGAAACCCAAGGCTTAAAGAGGTCTGGAAGTATTGGTTCAGAAACGGCATCGGTTTTTGATGGGGGCATGAAGAGCAGCTTGGAACCTGTGTTGTTTTCTCGACAGCAAGCTGTTTGTCGTGTTTGGGAGGGAGCGGTAGAGTGCTTTTTAGCTCATGATGATGTTTTCTATTTCGCTGAGCACGAGACGTAAGGCTGATGTTGCTTTGGCCTGTAATTAACCAATGTTTAAATTACAATGGAATTTTGAAGAGACAAGGGTTCTTTTTTTGGTCGCTGTCTGAGTGTTCATTTGAGGACGGTTACATCGCATCTTACAAGCTTCCTAGCTTTTTCTTGTCTTTACGGGCATCCTTTTAACGGCTTTTTAGTGGTCTCCACAAACTCCTTGCATAGTTGGTACTCGCGGCTTTCTGAGTCGCTACCATAGGATGTGAACAAGTTTGTGTCTAGATCGGCAGAAAAAATTGAGGAAGTAGAAACCGTTGCAATTAATTGATTACAGAGTGCCAGTTCATCAGTAAGTGAACTTGTCGAGCTCGGTAAAGATAAGCGTCTTCTATGCATCCCGCTAACATTTCCACTTATAACTGGAGTGATGTGAACGACGAGGTCAAAAGGCGTAATGTTACTTAACAGTATACTTTGTGATGTCGGTTTTTTACCGTATTATTTGCCTAGCGAAAGTTGACAGAAAAGCATGAAGCGTACACTGTCCACTGTAAGCCACCTAATTTATACCGTTCCAGCGAAATAATCCTCCAGAATCCCCGTTTCACCGTTTGTCTGTCACAAATTGTAGTGGCAAGGGAGAAGACTGTCGCACCGGCAACAACAGTCACTCTTCAAGCCGTTTTTGTAGAACAGCATGACATACTCACTTAGTCCAGTGAAGAATTGACTTCCTTCCCCGCACTTGTTCCCACAGTGGACAGAGCTCGATATCTAGGACTTGGCCTCTTTGAGTGTGCGGTTTTTGCATCTATTTTTTTTTACTGTTGAGAGCTAGCCAACACTACTTGTAAAAAAGAAAATCAGGGTCACTACGTTTGCCAGGTCAGGCTATGAAGAAACTACCGGTATTTTTTAAGCATTTCAAAAAACCTCAGCCGAGGCTAATCTAGACACCGGCAAAAATGTACACACACCAGTTAACATGCACACACCTAAGATGACTGCCTTG